CCCCGGCTTGTCCTCAGGCTACAAACTAATGGGCACAGAAATTAGAGTCCAACTCTTCCAGTTCACCGGTGTGATTTCCCCCCGGACTGCGGGTTAGCAAATTCCTTCTGTTACCAGAAAACACAGTTCTAGGGAACGAGAAAACTGGGTGCTCTGTCCTCCCCGCTAACCCTGTGGTAGCTGCGGGGAACAGAACAACATCTAAACGTGTGGATCTGTGTCCTCTTTGCAAAGAAAATGTGAGCAGCTGATCTTTAATGTCTCTTCCAACCCAAACCGTTCCGTGATTCTACGATTCCTCCTCTTTTACAGATGGAGAAACAGACTCCGGAGGAAGCCCCGGGACACAGAGAGCCCTCGGTGACCAGCAGGCAGTGATGGAGAGGTTCTCACAAGACTTGAAGAATGAGCACCACATCACGAGGAACCTGAAACCTCAGCCCTCCGCCTCCCCCCACCGGATAAAGCGTTCAAGCCACGGCCTTAGCGGTGTTTTAATTTCTTTTTTTTTTTTTTTTTTTTTTTTTTTTTTTGCTATGCCTGAGACGCGTGATTTGCTGACAGTCGTACAGTTCTATCCTCTCCAAGCTGTGGCAGCTTTTCAGGTGCTCCAGGGAGGCGTCCGTGATCAAGGGGCAGTTGTCCAGCTCGATCACCTCCAAGCGGTCGTGCGCGCAGGCGCCGTTTCCCAAGTGACGAATCCCGTCGTCCGTGATCAGCTCACAGTGGGACAAACTCTGCACCCAAACACAGCAAGTTAAGCAGCTTCTGCCGTCAGCACACGGAAGCCAACACCCTGCCAGGCCACTGCGGGTCCGTGTTTCCTGAGTCTGGACTGGTTTGCCACCCCGGGGCTTCGGACAGGTCTGTACCCCCCTCCTTGCACTGGAACCACTGCTGCGTTCCAGACTAAGGTGCCTGCGAGGGGAAAGCTCCCATAGCTGAAGCACAATGGGAAAAGCAGCTGCTGCAAGATGAGAGCAAGAGGGCCAAGAGGCAGGAGGGCACACAAATACCTCTGCTATTGAAGAAACCACTTCTGTAAAATCCGTGGCCTTACACATCATGGGAAGGCCCCCGACACTGGGTCTAAGAACCAGCAGAAATGTCATGTCACCTACTTAGTGCTTTTTTTTTTGGGGGGGGGGGGGATGCACCTTACAAGTTCTTGAGAAGGAACTGGGACTTGAACGAGGAGACAGCACTGGTCTGTTGCTTTGTTGAGGGGCGCAGCGTGCAGAAGGGAGGGCTGCACAGGAGAACCCACTGACTGCATCTCCCCACCTCCGGGACAGGTTTTTTCATGATGACAACGGAGCAGTACGCACATGGACACGGAGGAGAACAAGACCAAACTCCCAGAAATTCAGACCAAGAGGAACACTGCTTTCCAAAGCCAGCAAGATTCCCAGGTCTCAGCTGCCCAGCCCCATACTACAGGTGAGAAGGGCTGTGGTCTCCTCTCCTACAGACAGACGGACAGCCCAGGCTGCAGGCAGACTCTGCTGGGCTTGAGGAGGACAGCCAGAGGCTGGGG